ACGTTACACCAGGATCCTCCTGCTGAAGACACTCATCTCTGTGAAGGTGAAGCACATAGTTACATCTTTACAAAACTTCCTCTCGGTGTTAGTACAGCTCCTTTTGGAAGGGAAAATAACCCCAACATTTCATAGAACAAAGGTTAAGTGTACAATGCCAGTACATTACGTGCTTTAAAAAAAAATCGGTTTTAACACGTCTCAAGAACAGGATGCAGACTCTAACTTGAAAAATTTAGCAAACAAACTATATACACTCTTATCTACGCTGGACTCTAAGTAGCACATTGGCACTGATTTTATCCCAGGGTTAAGGCCGTTTTGTAAAATGTAACATTTACAGTTTTCATGTTTTCTAACAATACACCACTTCCAGTAGTTGAGAAAAAGATAACTCAGCCAGTCATCAAAACCTTTTACTAGTTTCTACTTTACTAGAAGAGCTGGGTGCAAATGTGTGTTTGCATATTTCTGAAAAAGGAAGGTGTGCCCTGGCTTAAATGTTTCACTTCTCACAGATCTGAAATTTTGTTTTATAGGCTTAATGAGTAGAATCAAGCAGCATGAACAGTACTATTGTTGCGACTGTGCTAAATGAACAGGTATCAGCCGATAGCACTACTTACCATTTTAGAATCCTCTCTGCGCCAGTAATTTTGACAAACCTTACCCAAATAGGATATACATCCCCCACCTGATATCTTTCTAGGGTTGATTTATGTGGGAAAATTTCAGCTAAAATACATCAAATATTTACAAATTCAGGGCAAGGGGAAAATACAGTTTACTGAAATTAAAGGAAAAAAAAAATAGATCTTGGGGCCACTTATTTGAAAAGCTCTAGTGCTCTCATACTCCCAGGGGGGAGCTTTCATTTCATGGCAAGTTTTGGTGTTAGGAGTAAATTGCAGTATTCTTTTAACACAGTTTTGGGATATGACACACAGTACATCACCCTTAACACCTATTCAAAATGTTCCTTGCTAAATCCCTTTCTCGTTTGTTTTAGATGGATGGGCTTTTAAAAACAATATTGTTATTAAAAATCACCGAAGCCTTGAAGAACGAAAAATTGCAGCACAGTTTCTTCAGAAAAATAATCCTTTATGTCCAGTGGTTTTAGACACTATGGAAAACCTGAGCAGTTCAAAATATGCTGCATTGCCAGAACGACTGTATCTACTTCAAGGAAGGAAAGTCATCTACAAGGTAAAAAATATCAACGAGTACAATATATTGAGATTTTTAAATTTCAAAATAATTTGAGAATGCTTTACATTTAACAATCAGTATTTCATTCCGTTTGAGAGCTAAAAATTTCACAATTCACTGTTAACTGTGGGGAGAAAAGGACTTGCAGCAAAACCAGTCTGGGCCTTTATAATGTACGTATTTGATGTACACCTTAGTCTTGCTCAAATATTTATCTTTTGGCTCATTAGGAAACCTAGGTACATCTAAGCTGTGAGATCCAGGAACACTTTCCGGCTCCAGGATCCAGATGTTGGCCCTGTCCCAGTTACACAGCAGGGTGTAACCTGTGCATACACCATCTCCCACGCAATGGCTGTCATGCAAAGGAAGCCCAAGCACGCCTGCCCACAGTTCTGGTGCAACTGCTGTGCTCTGAAGGACTTCTGCTTTGTCTGCTTGAGCATCACCATATCATTTTATTGCCTTTGCAGGGAGGAGTGGGGCCTTGGAATTACCACCCCCAGGAAATACGTGCCATCCTGGAAAAACTGAAATAGAAAAAGAAGAGGACTTCAGAGTGAAGACTATCTGGATAAAAAAAAAAAAAAAAGTTTTCAGAGACATAAGAAGAAAAAAAAATAATTTAAAAATAACAGTGGAGACAACAAGAAAAAGAATAATGTATGTGTCTCTAAAGAGCATCTGTGATGTGGTTCATTATGTGTTTGTATGGAGGTTTTCAAGTCTCATCGCTACAACCCCAGCTACTGCACTGTAGTATCTTACTATGCTTACGCTGCATGCAGTAATGAGTTGTAGTTGGGTCCATTGAGCTGTCAGGACTGGATACCAACGTTTACATTTGTAAGAAATACCGTGCAGGATAAACTCCAGCAGTGGTGACATTTGCAAAAGTTGACTGGCATGCGAAACAACTGATTTCACATTATTCTCCTTCTCTTGTATACATACAATGTTCACTTTCACTGACTTCAGAAGGCTTCTGAACAAGACAATCTCTATCAACATTTGTTTCTATTAATATTTGTTATGACAGTCATAGCATAAAGCACAGACAGCCGTGACCTGATTGTAGAAAATATTTATAGAAACAAGGGATTGATCTGCAATTATTAAAAATCTATTAGAGGATTTCACATGGCTTCAGATTATTTCCCTCCCCACCCTGCCCCTCTCCACCCCCGTTATTTCTCAGCATTAATAGACATTTATATTCATCCTATTACTATTGAACAGTTTGAGTTGATGAGAAAGTTACCAATTTAAGAACTTCTGAAGGACTTGTTTGACAGTAGGAAGTAATATGTACCATTTATGTATTTCACACTTTTTTTTTTCCTATTTAACATTTTACAGGCAATCGAGTTTTAATTCATATATTAAGAAAGCCTCATATAAACATACTAATTTAACTGGACTCAATTATGTTCAAGTGTTCTACGGTAACAGTCTAGGTTATAAAACCAGAAAGCTGTTACTACAATTAACAGGAGTACTGCATTACATACATTAAACTAGTGGGGAAACTACATCCATACCTTCAAAAAACACTTTAATACAAGCTTTTAATAATAAATATTCTCTGTTCTACAGATATCAAAATATAACTTCTTTATAAAAAAAACTGAGATACAAATTTAAGCTGGACTTAAGTGTTTTCTGCTGTGCCCTCTGCCATCACCCGGTGCACGGATACAAAATGATCAAAGGCAGATTTGATGATAAAACGCAAGTAAGTGGCTTGGAAATCAGGAAGCTGTAGAAGGAAAAAAAATGTTATTGCATTCTCTGTAGTAACATACCTATCAAACAATATTTGCAGAAGTCTGTTAGACAGAAGGATCTAGATATTTCTGTGTCCGTTTCCGAATTACACATAAATCAAGCTCTTTGAATACATCTAGCCAGCTTCAGAGCTTCTTTAGATGACAGCAATTCAAAAAAGTCCCGTCCCTCCCGAATACGGCAGCCTTAAAGGCCACAACTGAAGGAGGAAAGATTGCTACACTTCTGGAAAGAGATCTTTCACATAGTTGTGAGCAGTAGGCAGGTGCAATTTCATACCGTAATCTACAAAGGAACAGCTGGGAAGTGCAATTTCATACCGTGATCTACAAATTCCTGTATCTAACATCAATTTAACAATAATTGTAAATAAAGACATGTTTTGTTTTTTCATGGTTTCTCCCCAGTTAGTCTAGACATCCCATGTCATGAACCACTACTGATGTACACTGTAAATACTCACAGGAAATTCTTCCATTTGAAGCTGTCCTTCTGTGTGTTGCAAATCTAGAAAATACATTTTAAAGCAAATAATGAATAATAATGTGCAATGCTGTGAAAGTTTTTCACTGGACTTCAGAGTGCAAGAGAGTTTAAGGACCGTGAACTTACACTGCATGTAGAAATTGTTCTTTTTTTACAAGGTGATTTAAGAGAAATACTTTTTGCAATATACCGGGGTGTGTGTATATATATCCCACTCATTACATCGTTCTATAAAATGTCACCCAAGAGGCATTAAAAAAAAAAAAAAAACAAAACCAAACCAACCAAACAATGCAGGAAATGGCACTCTATTATACTATGTGAGTCTGTTTTTAATTTTTGGAACATAAAAGCAAGTGTACAAGTAGTGCTTTTAGCTCTCATACAGCATTTTACACCTCCAAACTGCTACATAGACCATCAGTGTTCATAAACTTCATTTAAATATGTCTATTACATTAACATATAATAAAATAATCATCAAGTCACACTTGACTACTCAACAAGTAGACATGGGGTTGAAGTGACTCACTGAAAAAATTATAGTGTATCAATAATGATAAAAAGGATGTTTTTAGCTGTATGGCTAAACAGCACCTAACTAAAATCTAAACTCAATTTTATAAGTGTTATTTTACAACCTATGTATACTTAGTCAAAGGCATAAAATTAAGACTTAACTTTAGAATAAAGAGGATTGCTTCCCAGTGTATTTGTTTATCATTATCCATCTAAAAATACATTTTTCAAGTTGGGAAAATGGTGCTATATAGCACCAGGCTACATGACCAGAAGCCTTGCTATTTTTCCAAAATGTCCATGTTTTCACTCGATGTTTAAAGAAACCAATGGGGAGCCCAAAGAATTTGCTATTAGGTATGCAAAAAGTGATAGTTCCCTCCAGAAGAGCATCACTGAAATTATTCAGGCAGCTAAGGTGAAAATGTAATTAAGTTACTGTGAGAACTACTCCATGGTATAACATCATAAGCAATTTTTGCAGGAAAACAGGGATCCTTGTGAAACATGCAATTAGAATACTAACCAAGACTAACTAAAATTGACAAAAGTAGTCTAGGTCACCAGGCTTTACCAAAGGCTGACAATGTGACTGATCTTGTTCTCAGACACCTGCCAGGGCACACATCTTAGTGTTATCCTCCCTTGTTTTGCTAGAGAAAAAACATTTTCAAGCTTCATTAGCAAGTTTTATTTTTGATGAATTATCTCAGTAGCAATAAAAGTCAATCAGAATCCTTCCTAGTTTGCCTAACACAAGCTTTGTTATTCTAAACCCTAGAAATAGTAAACGAATCGGCAAATACAAAGATCAACATCAGTCCCATGAAATCCCCACTACTTCAGATTCAGAATCTTACCTTTTTCAATGCACTGTTCAAAACCTACTGGGTCTTTAGATACGCTTCTTTCAATCCTTAAGGTCCGCACTAAAATATATATACATTTAAAGGATCAGTACAAATTCTGATTCTTTATTGATGATATTTATTGCATCACTTTTCATCTACAAAGCACTTTAAAAGCATTAACTAATCCATTCTTTCTCTAACTTACGGGGTAGGACTATAATACAACCACCATCCTCACATTCTAGGTTGGACAAATGACAACAAATTTTCATGTCTTTTGCGTAGCCCCTGCTAATGGTCAAGCTCCCATCTCCATGCTCTGACCTTGTAAGTCTGTTTTAGAACTCACGTTTTCCTTCACATTTTTTTAAAAAAGTAAGACTAAGAGAGTTCTGTCCTATGAAATTATAAAAATCAATATTCAAAATAAATCATTAAAAGAGCATGTTGTAGCCCTGTCCATTAAATTAGAACAGCCATCACTAAGTGACAGAACAGCTAATTACAAGCTCAATACAAGGTGTTATAACAACAAAACAAGTGCAGGTAGGGTAGATTTTCCTTTTCTGATTTATTTATGAAAAGCTTTGGATGTGGAGGACAATGCTAAATGAAGCTTTATGAATTAAATTAATCTTTATGAATCTGTCAGAAGTGACTACTTACTGAATGTGACACTACTGTGAAAATTTACATATAGGCACGCACACATTTTAACATAGTATGTATTACGTACCGCAATACACTAAGTCTTACCCAAGTAACACTGGATTGCAACTTTGCTGATTTTTACACATTTAGGAAAACCAATAATGAATTCCTGTGGGAACATGCCTGTCGTCGTCCAAAAGGTTTCTGAACTTCTGTAGAGAAAAAAAGGACAAAACCCGCACCTGCGGCTTTCTATCTATAACCGACTTGAAATTTATCACCAAAAAAGAAAAAAAGGCTGTAAAGCCATGTTTTATTTGGGGTATTTTAAGCAAACCCCTGTGTGACAATAGGGAAGCTCTCTGGAGGTATTACTGCTTTACCGTTCATGCTCTGTACC